TAACCCATCCCATACTGGCATTACGTCGTTGGATTACAATCCACCCTCCACCATCTGTCTCCATGTCACAGTACACTGCTAGTTTTGCATAACTAAACGGATTATCACCGGCACAAGGGTCTTTGATTGCATAAATTCCAGATGGAGCAGAGGGATACATTCTCTTTATCTAAAAACAAAGCAAAGTTGCATAACCCTAGCTAATAATGTATACATCTCATCTTTAAGTAATTTACCTCACAACAGTCAGCAACAAATCCATCCTCTGAACAGATTTCTAGCTCTTCGAGCTGTTCCAGTTGTGGTGTCGTCATATTTTCCATTGATCTTTTGATCTCATCCGCTTCATCACGTGTCACATTTATCTTTCTCTTCATTTTAAGCACTGTTGATTCTGCTTCGTTTATTTTATTTTGGGCTTCATCTACTTCTGTTTTGAGCTCGTGGACTCGAATCTCTTTCATGCGATGGTGCTCGCGAAGCCCGTTCAAAACGGATAGCTTCACGTGAGAGTCATTGTCACACACCATTTGATTTGGTGACATTTCTACTTCCTTTAATAGGAATAGAAGTGAAGCAAAGGCAATCACCTGTACATTATATATAGCAATAATTGACTCACTCTGACCATTAATGACCATATTATACACATACCTTCATTTTCCCTGTGTATTGTAACAGCAGCAGTGTGAATTTAGGTTTGCAACTGCTGGTAAGACCTATTTTTATACTGCACCGGCTGTGCTGGAGGTAGCGGAGGAGTAGTTTAGGGTGTTGTTTCAAACAGTCAGCCAGCAGGCATGGGGGTTAGTGCAACACACAATCAGCAAGGACCCTACACGATGTATTCAAGATAAGCACCCAGTTTGATATTTAAAAGTCACTTGATATTGCTTTATCCTTGATACATCACACTGAGGGAGCAAAAACATTATGTTGATAGAGCCCCATGAGATGTGTGCAAGAGAAGCAGAGTTTTATGTTCTTAAGAGCTATGTAAGTTTGTGGGTTGCTGGTGTGATAGAAAAGCTGATGTAATGCACATAAGGATTTGCATTCACTTGCATATGCTTCATGAGTAATGTAAGCTGGCACGGATAGCTTCGTGTGATATGGTTAGTTTAGAGACCCATAACGTGGTGGATCATGAACAGCAGTTCTGCTATGGTGCACTAGGCTGCAAGGGGAACTTGTCTGACAGAATGGCTCCATAGCCACGGGATGTAGTCATACTTTTGCATGATGGTAGGCTGTAGCTGATGTATCTTGTATCGGACACTTTGCCTACTGATGAATTTTGCCCTGACACTTGCTAGCTTTGTGTTCATGTTCAACTGGATACCATGGTTTAAAAGGCATGTTTTTCGTGGGCAGTGACAGATATTGTACCCAATATTATGACATCCCCAATAGATATGATGTGCTAAAGTGACGCGTGAATGATTTTACACCAAACAAGCCCTATTGTAGTATGGTAGTTGTAAAATTTAAGGCTACGCGGTCACCCTTGGAGAGGATGTGGGGGAAAACTAATGTCCTTTGAGCATATCAAAATTTTTAACGGCCAGCTAAATTTATTGAGCTAGTGAGAACATGGCACAAACAACCTGTTTTTCACCCACAGTTGCTGATGATGGTGCACACGGTGTTATGACAACCCCACTAGATGTGTGCTGAAGAGGCAATGTGTGGTATTATAGACTGGTTCACATGGGGTCATCTAGCAGAAGTGAGCGACAGAGAGCCATGTCTCACAACAAACACATAGCATTTGCTACTTTAGGAAAGACCTTGCAGAGTGGAAGACATATCACCCATAATGATTATCATGGTCCCAATAAATTCTGATATTGTTATTTATCCACCTACTAAATGGTATTCTGCAGTTTTTATTGGATTAGAGTTGCTGCCAGTTACCATTATAGTACCTCCATCTACTTCGTCAAAATTAGCCACGGTTATATAGTCCATAATCATGTATTTGGAGCTAGCTCTTTCCGTGAGTTGTGTCTTACTTAAATAAAGTGTATAGTCAGTAGAAAAGCTTGGGGTTAGTGATACACCAATAAAAGATAGTAAGAGTTTTGACATAAAGCATAACGTAAATAATGGCAGTGTTCTAGTTCATTCTGTGTTCAATCATGATGTCCGTGGTTTGTTTTGTGGAGGCATTACTTACACATGCGCTTACTTTGGGAGGTTGTATACGCCAGAAGAAAAACAATTCTCTCTTAGAGACTGAGCATGGAGTCAATGATTATAAGTCACCAAATGTTTAATGAACAATATAGCAGCAGAAATTTTCTATTTTACCCAACAATGTTTGTCAGCTATATGTGTGAATTACAACAGGGATTGTGACAAGGATGCAAATGCTTACTCTACATGTATATTTATTTGTTTTCTAGGCTGCTCATTAAGGCAGGATGCTTGTTCAGTATTAATAAAGCTCGCATGACTGTGGACGAATTATCATGTCCGAATATGTTGCAGTTGAATAGTCCGCATAACTGCCATACCTCCACACAAGTCTCTCTCCCACTCCGTCTATTCCAGAAAGACCACTTGGCTGGTGACGACCATTTAAGTTTGCATTAACATCACAGTTTTCACTGTAGTAGTACCACCAGCCACTTTGTCTTGTATAGCCACAATTGTTTCCATAATAGCGATCAAAAGTAGTAAAGTAATAATTATTATCCCCTTCATAAGGACCAAAAATACTGTCAGCCCAATCATAATAATTATTAGTTTTAAAGAGGGCATATCTACTTTTTTCATTAAGTATTCTGAAGTATGGATAGTCCCAATAATTATTATCTGAATTATAGTCATCCATGACTCTTACATTCAATTCAAACATTTGCTGATTGGTTAGCTCATAGATCTGTTGAAGTCCAATCCAAAATTCACCATCTAAATCACCGAAACCGTTCTTGTAATCAACCCAGCCCCTAGCAAAGTTAACCCATCCCATACTGGCATTACGTCGTTGGATTACAATCCACCCTCCACCCTCTGTCTCCATGTCACAGTACACTGCTACTAGTTTTGTATAACTAAATGGATTATCTCCTGAACAAGGGTCCTTGATTGCATAGATTCCAGAGTGAGCTGAAGGAAACTTTCTCTTTATCTACAACACATAACAGGATCATTATAAATAATGCAATAAGAAAAGCATTGAAGTGCAAACCCTCGGTGCAAAGGGTATTGCATGCGCAGCAAGGGTTGATTCGTGTGTCCGTCTGATTCTCCTACAAATGACGTTCAAATTAAGTGAACAAGACAATAATATGTTAATTACCACTGGCTAGATTCCGCTCGCATTGTGCACTGTAGAGGAATCAAAAGTAAAGACGGAGGATGTCCTGCAATGTCTAGAACGCTATACAGCCTTGACAGAGTCTCAGCGAGCTGGTCAAGCGTGGCCCAGCCCATCAATTAGCGACCTGCGCATGCAATACGCGCCTTTTGCGCCGAAGGTTTGCACTTTCTTATTGTATTTACCTGGCAACAATCCGTAAAAATTTCATCTGAGCAGATTTTTAACCCTTCAAGCTCTGCAAGTTGTGGTGTTGTCACATTATTAATTTGTCCCAGTAATTCATTTGCTTCATTACGTGTACTATTCAATCGTGTCTGTAATTCAGTCAATGATATCTCTGCTTCATTTATGTTCCGTACTAAATTATTAATTTGAATCTCCTTAATTGCATGTCGTTGATGTAGTCCATTTAAAATGAATAATTTAGCCTCAGATTCATCATCACATACTTTGTTATGTTCTGATTCCTCTGTTCCTCTTATAGTTGTCAGTGTTCCAAAAAACACTGCAAGCAAAATTCCCTGAAAAATAAAAGAATATATAGCTGCCAATTCTTTCACTCTCAATGCTTAATCTACATACCTTACAGGCTCTCATTTTCCTTGCAGATCAACGATTGTAACAGTATATACCAGGAAAAAATTTTTATACACCCAGCTATAATAATGTAGCAGGGAAATGCCTTGGTGCATTATATAACCCGACTTCTGGTTTTTAAGTCAACATAATGTGTTTACCAGTGGGCATGAGTGTAAACTATGAGTGTCGATTTCAGCAATTCATTAATCACGAGTCAAGGAATGATGCTCAAACAATAATGCTACTTAAGCTCATAGCTACTTATAGTATGGAGCTATATTATACTATGTTACATTCTCATGTGTTAAAAAATAGATTGCACCTTATCAGTTACGTAGAAGGAATGGGATAATAACATGGTGTCCTCACCATGTCTGAGCTACAGAATGGTGCTTCAAGAACTCCAGAATATGTGTAGCTAATGAGACCTGTGGTGTTGAATAATTAATTCTTGACATGGGCTAATATTAATGAGAAGAGCAACGCACTTATTGTCACTGTGTGCAGCCAACTTCATTCATTCAAACAGAGAGAAAAGTATCATGCAACTGTACACAGTTCAGAGAAGGGGTTGCTGTTTAGTTGTCTTTCTGCTAGTGTAGAAAACCTGGCGTAAAATAGTGTAGATGTAAAACACAAGGATTTTTAACCTCAACATCCTCGTTGTGTGGGCTAAAAAGCTAATGTGCCTGTACCTACGGAGAGTGTACTGTAAGTTGTTCGTTGACTGCGGAATCATGCGCATGCTCAGAACATCCGTGTGCTAGCTACACGCATGCTCAGTGGATCAAATTACGTAACTACAACACGTGATACTACAAGCTGCAGCAAGCTGCAAGAGCGATCGAGAGCGAGAGAGCTTCCGAAACAGAAAGCCTGCGTCCTTCACTAGGCATCAGGACCTCTCCCTGAGCTCGCTACAGAAGATGGGAGTACAGCTGTTCATTCTAGTAGCGTTACTAGCTTCCCTGCAGCTCGGACGGACCGAGGATTTCCATCCCGACAGAACGCTCCTGTAAGCTACTTTGCACTCTCATCTGCTACTTTATACTGCACGTTGTATTGCAGAATGGACGTCTACCCAAGAGACCGTCCTACGAACTTTCTGTTCCGGGGGAATATGCCCGTCATCAACGGTAGCTTTGCGTACAGTGAGATCGTCATGACAATGAGGGGCGTGGCTGGGAAGTTCAACTACACACTCCCTGCAAATTTCACTCTAATTGATGTCAGGTGTGGCTTTGTTCAATATCCGAGCTGCTTTTTGTAGCTTAGTTGAACAAATAGTAATAGTTGCACAGTTGGTAGGGCCCTCTCTAGAACACAGAGTGCTCTGTCTTGCTCTGTATGAGTGATTCAGCCCAGCCAGCTGAGCTGCCTCAGTTAGTAGAGCCCTCTCTAGAACACAGAGTGCTCTGCCTTGGATTCAGCCCAGCCAGCTGAGCTGCCTCAGTTGGTAGAGCCCTCTCTAGAACACAGAGTGCTCTGCCTTGCTCTGTATGAGTGATTCAGCCCAGCCAGCTGAGCTGCCTCAGTTGGTAGAGCCCTCTCTAGAACACAGAGTGCTCTGCCTTGCTCTGTATGAGTGATTCAGCCCAGCCAGCTGAGCTGCCTCAGTTGGTAGAGCCCTCTCTAGAACACAGAGTGCTCTGCCTTGCTCTGTATGAGTGATTCAGCCCAGCCAGCTGAGCTGCCTCAGTTGGTAGAGCCCTCTCTAGAACACAGAGTGCTCTGCCTGCTCTGTATGAGTGATTCAGCCCAGCCAGCTGAGCTGCCTCAGTGTGGTAGCCCTCTCTAGAACACAGAGTGCTCTGCCTTGCTCTGTATGAGTGATTCAGCCCAGCCAGCTGAGCTGCCTCAGTTGGTAGAGCCCTCTCTAGAACACAGAGTGCTCTGCGCTTGCTCTGTATGAGTGATTCAGCCCAGCCAGCTGAGCTGCCTCAGTTGGTAGAGCCCTCTCTAGAACACAGAGTGCTCTGCCTTGCTCTGTATGAGTGATTCAGCCCAGCCAGCTGAGCTGCCTCAGTTGGTAGAGCCCTCTCTAGAACACAGAGTGCTCTGCCTTGCTCTGTATGAGTGATTCAGCCCAGCCAGCTGTAGAGCCCTCTCTAGAACACAGAGTGCTCTGCCTTGCTCTGTATGAGTGATTCAGCCCGGCCAGCTGAGCTGCCTCAGTTGGTAGAGCCCTCTCTAGAACACAGAGTGCTCTGCCTTGCTCTGTATGAGTGATTCGGCCCAGCCAGTTGAGCTGCCTCAGTTGGTAGAGAATGCTCTGCCTTGCTCTGTATGAGTGATTCAGCCCAGCCAGCTGAGCTGCCTCAGTTGGTAGAGCCCTCTCTAAAACACTGAGTGCTCTGCCTTGCTCTGTATGACCAGAAACCTTTCAGCATTAGCTGTTTATTAGGATAGCCTGTAAATTTTCAATGTTTTATATACGTTTTGAAAACTTGTTACATGTGTTTGTGTACTTTGCTCACTAACTGCAGCTACCTGAATATATTCGAGGAAAGCGACCTTGAAATCGAGCGCAAGTTTTTCGAGTCCAACCCAGAACTGGGGAAGTTGGAAAACAGAGTTATTATAGGGAGTTTTTTGCCTCCTCCCCAGGAAGACCCTGACTTAATAAAGGTGTTTATACTTTTATAGTTAGTGGAAATCCCAAATGTATGTGCATAATGCTGGATGGCTGTGTGAAAATTCCCAAATGTATGGGCATAATGCTGGATGGCTGTGTGAAAATTCCAAATGTATGGGCATAATGCTGGATGGCTGTGTGAAAATTCCAAATGTATGGGCATAATGCTGGATGGCTGTGTGAAAATTCCAAATGTATAGGCATAATGCTGGATGGCTGTGTGAAAATTCCAAATGTATAGGCATAATGCTGGATGGCTGTGTGAAAATCCCAAATGTATGGGCATAATGCTGGATGGATAACCTGTGAAAATTCCAAATGTATAGGCATAATGCTGGATGGCTGCGTGAAAATCCCAAATGTATGTGCATAATGCTGGATGGCTGCGTCATTCATTATACTAAGTAGTACCATACTTTGTGATAACAAAAATCATGTAAGCTCTCTTTTGTGCAGTTTTACTTCCTTCAGTTTCAATTCTGTTTGTTGTGTACCTTTAACTATCGTGACAAGGTGACGCCACCTTTTCTGTCTCTACCTCTCCTCCTCCTCCTCCTCCTCCTCCTCCTCCCTCTCTCTCCTCCTCCTCCTCCTCCTCCTCCTCCTCTCCTCCTCCTCCTCCTCCTCCTCCCCCTTTTTCTCTCATCCTTTTCTCAGGACATAATAAGAGAATACATTGACATCTCTTACGACAAGCTACCGGAACTAATGACATATTTCCACAGTCTCCTTATGCTGCCATCACCAACTGTTATCTACAGTCACTGCGAGGTATGTACAGCATGGTACTACTTAGCAAATATAAGTTGTCCAAAGTGCTGCTGAATTAATATTTTTGTCAAGCGAAGTTACACCACCTAGTTGTGCAATGTTCTATATCTATTCATGATGCTGTCACCAAACTGTTGAAAGTGTTAGCCCCAGCTGTTGAGATTGCCTACCATGTATGCACAAACATCGCTGTAACCATTTCAAAGATCACTTGCACCCAAAGTGCATCTAGGGAACTTCGTACCTAAGTCTTCTTACAAAGTACAATTTATTACCGCGTGAGCATGAATGACATGGGTTCAATCTTGCAGTGTGATACAACTCATACATGTGCACCCTCTCAGTATGCAACGAGTGGTATTTGTTCCCATTTCAGGCAGGAACGGACAGAACGGGAGAAGTGAGTGGAGCGTACTACATGCGGTACCTCAACATGACCTTCAGCGACGCTCTCTACATTGACAACCACGTCCAGTCTAGAGATATGTGAGTCCTCTCAGAGGGTTTAGAGGGGGTTTCAGAATGTGTAGAGGTAAAGGGTTAACTGTATAATTGGTAGCCACGTCCAGTCTAGAGATATGTGAGTCCTCTCAGAGGGTTTAGAGGGGGTTTCAGAATGTGTGGAGGTAAAGGGTTAACTGTATAATTGGTAGCCACGTCCAGTCTAGAGATATGTGAGTCCTCTCAGAGGGTTTAGAGGGGGTTTCAGAATGTGTAGAGGTAAAGGGTTAACTGTATAATTGACAACCACGTCCAGTCTAGAGATATGTGAGTCCTCTCAGAGGGTTTAGAGGGGGTTTCAGAATGTGTAGAGGTAAAGGGTTAACTGTATAATTGGTAGCCACGTCCAGTCTAGAGATATGTGAGTCCTCTCAAGGGTTTAGAGGGGGTTTAGATGGTAGAGGTAAGGGTTACGATAATTGACACGTCCAGTCTAGAGATATGTGAGTCCTCTCAGAGGGTTTAGAGGGGGTTTCAGAATGTGTAGAGGTAAAGGGTTAACTGTATAATTGGTAGCCACGTCTCAGTACTCTCAGGGTAGTCAGATGTGTAGAGTACCCGTATCAGTCAGAGTCCTCTCAGAGGTTTAGAGGGGGTTCAGAATGTGTAGAGGTAAGGGTTAACTGTATAATTGGTAGCCACGTCCAGTCTAGAGATATGTGAGTCCTCTCAGGGGTTTAGAGGGGGTTTCAGAATGTGTAGAGGTAAAGGGTTAACTGTATAATTGTAGCACACGTCCAGTCTAGAGATATGTGAGTCCTCTCAGAGGGTTTAGAGGGGGGTTTCAGAATGTGTAGAGGTAAGGGTTAACTGTATAATTGGTAGCCCGTCCAGTCTAGAGATATGTGAGTCCTCTCAGAGGGTTTAGAGGGGGTTTCAGAATGTGTAGAGGTAAAGGGTTAACTGTATAATTGGTAGCCACGTCCAGTCTAGAGATATGTGAGTCCTCTCAGAGGGTTTAGAGGGGGTTTCAGAATGTGTGGAGGTAAAGGGTTAACTGTATAATTGGTAGCCACGTCCAGTCTAGAGATATGTGAGTCCTCTCAGAGGGTTTTAGAGGGGGTTTCAGAATGTGTGGAGGTAAAGGGTTAACTGTATAATTGGTAGCCACGTCCAGTCTAGAGATATGTGAGTCCTCTCAGAGGTTTAGAGGGGGTTTTCAGAATGTGTAGAGGTAAAGGGTTAACTGTATAATTGGTAGCCACGTCCAGTCTAGAGATATGTGAGTCCTCTCAGAGGGTTTAGAGGGGTTTCAGAATGTGTAGAGGTAAAGGGTTAACTGTATAATTGGTAGCCACGTCCAGTCTAGAGATATGTGAGTCCTCTCAGAGGGTTTTAGAGGGGGTTTCAGAATGTGTAGAGGTAAAGGGTTAACTGTATAATTGGTAGCCACGTCCAGTCTAGAGATATGTGAGTCCTCTCAGAGGGTTTAGAGGGGGTTTCAGAATGTGTGGAGGTAAAGGGTTAACTGTATAATTGGTAGCCACGTCCAGTCTAGAGATATGTGAGTCCTCTCAGAGGGTTTAGAGGGGGTTTCAGAATGTGTGGAGTTAAAGGGTTAACTGTATAATTGGTAGCCACGTCCAGTCTAGAGATATGTGAGTCCTCTCAGAGGGTTTAGAGGGGGTTTCAGAATGTGTGGAGGTAAAGGGTTAACTGTATAATTGGTAGCCACATCCAGTCACAAGATAAATGTATGCATGTATCACTCCTCCATAGGATTTAGAGGGTTTTGAATTGTTGTGGGGTTAAATTAACGGTGCATTGGTAGTCTCAAGATGCCTGTATTATACACAATGTGAGTCCTCTGTAGGATTTAAACTGTTGTTGTGGAGTTGAAGGGATATTATTAACCATCCAATTGAAGAACCTGACAACTGTGTACCCGGCTCAGTAGAACTTAAGGAAGTTAAACTCCAATATGAAAGTCACGTATATAAAAATATATATATATAATTCTAAAATTTGCAGAATCATGACCATATCATGCTAGCTACACCATGCTGACCTAACTGGTCCATTATTCAGACCACACTGTTCAGTACTTGTAGGTTCCATAAATGGTCAACAGCAGCATGTCTGTAGTAACTCATACTGTTTCCAGGAAAGCCAGTAGCAACAGTTATCTGTGGACATTGGAGAAAGGAAGGAAGAGAGTGTGGTTAGGATTGTGTATGGCAGTTGGACAGGATGGGAGGTGGCAGAAGTGATATTGTATGTGTGTAGTTGGTATGCAGTGTGAAGGAAGTAGGGGACATTGAATCAGGATATGCCAAGGTGTAAAGGTGTTCATAGTATCCATTGGTATATGGTCTGGTGCATACAAACGTCACTCTAACTGGGAATATGCCAAGGTGTAGTACTGAAAGGTTTTAGTATGTAGCAACCCTACCTACTTGGATAAGTACCTGGCGATTACGTAATAATCATGTGATTGGAATGCAGCAGTAAAACATTATACTGTAGTATGCACTCTACTTGCATTTGGTTCTAGCCCTTTAACCCACCTGCAGCAAGGTCAATACCAAGGTAAAAGGTGGGAATGTAGGAAAAGAGAGAAAGGGGGAGAGAGGGATACAAATGTAACGAGGAAATGCTATGAGAAAGAGGTTAAAAGTGAAAATAAGTGGTAAATATTAGGCAGGAAACAGTGTGGGAGTATGAATTATTGGCCAACCTCTTCATTTCAATTCTGTAAAATTTCTGGGGTTTTTTTACTTAATCCCGTGTCCACATAATTTCATGGAGATAACTTGCAGATGGCCCATAAGCCATGAAATTTTCCCGAATGTTTTTTTTCCTCGAAATCTTCCAGCTATACAGTACATTGACAGATCAGTGAGCGTATAACTATATAATAATATGATGTTTCGTTCTAAACTTGTGTGTATATTTTGCACAGGTACAAGACGTCGCGGAACGGGATGCAATGGTACTGCTTCTACTTGAAGTTTGTTGAAGACTTCTCGCATCTCGACTGTGTGGTGTAGCTTTCTCTTTCACTTTCTGGTTTGTGTATCTCTCTTTTTATTATTATTTTTAGTTGGCACAATTGTGTGTGTTTGTGTGTTTTTAACAGGTAAATAAAGTACAATTTACTAATAAATGTTTGTAGATTATGGAAACCATCTACAATAGTTTGTCATTTACTGAACGACCTACTATTGCATGCAGATCATAATATTATGTAGGACATAGTTTTTGTGTGTATCTACCAGTGTTTTTTTATGACGCATGATAAGTAAATCTATCAGTACTGTGAAAGTAAGGATACAACAGTAGGTGACTAAACTGGGTCAGTGGACATACTGTATGAAACAGAGATCGTTCAAGTGTCCGAAAACTAGTAGCCCAGATGTGTACTGATGTAATACCTATGATCCTAATACATGTGACAAAGATTTATCTCGCCGTGACATAATAGTTGATATCCGTGTACGCAGTCACACATGTGTGAGCCAATAGGCGACTGCACGGGTTATGTGGGAAAACAGTATGAAACACAGATTGGCTTACGTTCCCATGTGAATTCGTCAGTCGGTTCTAGCTACAATATAATATGTATTCATACACAGACATACTGTGTGTTAACCTATATACCAGTGACTACATTATTGCCATGTGGGCAATGTATTAGACCAATTGCTCAAATTCGTAAGCTGCTTTAAGCTGAGTTCACAACATGCCCCATCGCGTCTTGCTGTTTTGCCGCGTCACAAAGATAGCGCTTGCAGCATCACAAGGATTGAATCCTCGATATTCACGGCACACCGCGACGTGGCAATGCGACATAATAATATTATGGTGAACCTAGCCTTATATTATGTACTTATGTATGTAGGATATGTACATACATAAGCCAGTAGTCTTGGGTCCAGATCCGCGACTACAGTAAATAGTAGGGAGCTGACTACACATTTCGTGTGTGCAAACTATGAATCCAGGTTGGCCTGGGTGCCCATGAGAAGCTATGCCAAGTATGTGGTGAAGTATAGAGATGATAGGGTGCTGGCAAGAAGAAGGAAGTGCAGGAAACCTTCCTTATTTCATTGGTAGGATGTTGTTAGTGGTTGTTACTCTGTTTGATGTGGTAACAGCTAGAGACGTATGTGGTTTTATTGAGTGGTGTTGGCTAGGAAGGGTGTTGGCTGAATAGACTTATACAGCTGGATATTCACTTAGTCGACGCTGTAGGGACAGCGAGTAGATGCAACCTTTCTTAGTTTCTAGCATGCAATGTCACGAAGGGACAAACCTGGCCTACGTACAAAGCCATTCCTGGTACTTTGCGCAACGCTTCGATCACTTCACTTAGTTGACGCTGCCGGGCCAGCGAGTGGACGCTTCAATCACTTCAGCATCCAGGCTTAACTGCGGGGTTAAGAAACAACCGTAGACCCCACAACTAGCGAAGAGGACTTCATGCATCAGGGGAAAGCTCTGAGAGTGGACCTCCACCAGAGACCAGAGGAGACTCAACATCACTAGGTGGAAGCAAGAATACATGTTGTCTTCGCAGCTAGCTTCGCCCACAAAACCTTTGCTGCCAACACTCCACTGTTACGAGTGAATAAGCAGATAGCGTAGTCATCACGTGAGGGTTCAAATCCTACCTAGCCGGCAGCTCTTTTTTGTTATCTAGTGTGCTTCCTCACTCTGCAATCTCATCACTGGTTCCTTATACAATACCCAAGGAGACTTGGCTTTTCCCTCTACCCAACATCTGTGCCACATGTCTGTTACATACATACTTCATACTCTTCTCATTAGTCTTTAATCTGCACAACAGGAAATAGGTTGAGTGCGCACTTCCTTTCCGGAGGGAAGAGTCTCTGGTTTTCTTTCCATTACGCACAGACTTTGCAATTGCATGTTTCCTGTGTAGTGTCTGTGTGTACAATGCTCTAGGGAGCACCTGCCGCCCACACCCTTGTACTGTTCTCTACATGTGGTGCGTGTGTTCACTTGTGGTGAGATCTGCTGACCTTCAAACATATGTTGTTGGGTGCTTTTTGAATGGAAGACATACTATAGCTGACACAGAAGACTTACCATGTTACTCTCTTGTACCTTATGCATAGCTATCATGTTACTTTTGTATATCATGTGTACTTATGTGTAAGTGTACATGTACCTCTATACATGTATGTGTACAAGGTGTAAAAATACATGTATAAAGTGTGGATCTTGTATTGAAGTACGGGGTGTAATGTAGACATGTTGTTTGTCTAAATTACATTCTTCGTCTCCTTGTAGTTGTGTGTGTCCGTTTGTATGCACTTTCACGGTCATTTGTTGTACATGCATGTAATAGACATGTACATGCATGTACATGAATACATGGAGACATGCCCCACTTACATGACAAGTACATATTGACGTACTTTATGTGTCATTCCTGTATTTCTTATACAGGGGAGAGTACGACACACACAAGCCCTGGTACAAGCCGGTTACAAGTGCGGCACGCCTTTGGAATGCAATTATTAGGACTACTCACGCATATTTTGAAGTGTTACAAACCAGTCTCAACCGAGTATTGATACTTGCATATGCACACATGTGCATCTACTTGGTAGTATGTACAATTATACGTCCCAAGTGCTACATTACACACATATAAATGTAAGTCAAAATACTATTGCTGTATCGTATGTTAGGCGTGACTGGCTGTTTCCAAACTCGCACAGGACTTTGCCAACTGTTGTAACTAATCGTGTTAGCTTTTCCTTACAGAGAGATCCGTGTGTGGATAAGGCAGCATGCAACACAAGCAACCAAATCCCCTGCCTCCCTACACTCTTTGCTTAGCTTGCTGGCTGGCCTCAGTAGATTGTGCAGAATGTGCATGGTTGTGCTAAATGGTGCGTATATGCACTGCTTTTTGCGTCTGCCCCAAATAAGGAGGTTCACTGCATACTGAGTGAGAGTATACTGTGCCATAGCACAGTGGTTTGAGGGTTGCCTTGTGTTGTGTTGTAGATTCAAATCCCTACCAGCGGAGTTGCCCTGGTAGCTCAGTTGGTAGAGCACTCGCCTAGACTGCAGAGTATCGTGGGTTCGAATCCCACCCAGGGCAACTCTTCTTCTTTTCTTTGAAAAAAGAGCTGTCCTCGGTGTAGTTGACTTGTTTGCCTTGCCTTTCTACCTCGCTGCCAAGTTGTTGATACATGCATCACTTAGCTGCCCTCCCAGGGGTTGAGTACTGTTCTAAAGTGTCCTCATTTCAGGGTAAAGTCCACTGTATCCTATATACAGAATGTGTAAATGCTTCCCTTTAGCCACAAGAGGATTCTTTTATACAGCATGGTCATAGTAGTATAATTATATTGAGTTTGCTACAATACTGTGTAGAATTAGTATGGGGAATCCCCTGGGTATTTCCAATGCACAGCAAAGGTGGTCAGATAAACCCACAAAACACATTATTGGTTGTCAGCCTTCCTACATCCCAATGTACAAAAGGAAATTCGATTATGATCTTGTTTTTCTTTACTACTCCCTTGGTTGCCTACACTTCACTGACACTATATAGCTTGCTCACAAGCTGACGGAGGTATTGAGTCTCGCTATGCCTAAAACGCCATCTAACACATGTCAGACTCAGAGGGCTTTAGCTAGAGAGCCCATATCATAGGCATCAATACAGTGTTGCAGTTAAAGCTGTGTCGTGGCACAAGCTAGCAATAAAAAAATGTCAACTAGACCCAAAACAAGGCGCCGCATGTGTTTGTGTCACTCTTGCTAAGAGACCATGCTTTGTCTTGTATGCCATTGCTGCATTGCTTAGCCTTACAACCAAGTGTGGCACATTGTTAGTATTGTAGCGGCCATAGCACTACAGCAAGGTGTTTACAAGTTATAATCAATTAAACCCTTGTACCTAGGACAGTTCATACACACCTGCCTAACACAGAGTACAATAAGTTTACCTGTTGTACTAAAAAGTAGTTATCCAGTGAATACTACAAACAGTACTTACAAGGAGATGCGGAATTGCTGAATAGAGGTGCCAACTATGAATTAATTGTCCACGAAGCAAACTCACCTGATCTACTAGTGGGACCTTTGGACACCCCTGAAATGAGGACACTTCTCCAATATGGACATCTTTCTTTCCTCACATGCAATTTAATACCTGAAACAAGGACACACCTCACTAATATCGACAATCTCTTCTGTCCCATTGGTGTCCAGATTAGAGGAGTTCCACCCCATTATCATACGCTGTCATACTTGACAATGACACATCCACATACACCACATACAGTATGTAGAGAGGTTCAAAGTTCATGATCTACGTGTTTGCTCTCCTTCATTGCGTTCGTTCTCCTAACTCTGTGATATCTGATTGACCTGTCGCGTTGTGAGGTCACAGTGGAAGTATCAGTTATTCATGAACATGAATAATGTCGACAAGGACTTCGTTGCCAGACTACTCAAAATATACAACGACAAATTTGTTGTGTAGTTTCCTAGGAGATCGTGATGCAATGTTATACTCAGCACAGCTTTATTGGTATGTTAGTAATAAATATCTTCCACACAATATATTTTTTGGGCAGGGGCATTATTTACAGAGTGGGGCAAGCAAAATTTTACCGCCAAAAGTGCTACCAAATCCTGAAAGGTTATCCCTCAAAAGGTTACAGCTATTATATGGTGGGTATATAGGACTAATGTAGTATGTATATACATGTGTACATGTGCATTGTATGTGCATTGTACGTAGGCGTGGGACACACTTTCGAAATTCGAAAGTAGTTTAAACTCGCTTTCAGAATGTTGGCTACTGAGCCAACTCTGTAATCTGCGTGTCTGTTTCACGTTATAATGTACGTTTGACTGGCATTTGTGGTTAGTCTGGGATCTGGGGGAGGTGCTGTAGCGTGTGTGGAGTAATTTTGGCTGCCAAACCACGAAGAGCAAAGTTGTGTTCAGGAATAAGGATAGTGGGGCAGGCTGCGTGTGTAGCCGTTTACACTGACCAGATTGAACCGATTTGGAAAGTGGCTTCCAAACCACCTCCTAAGCTAAACCCGTTGTATACACGTAAACCGATTCAAAGTGTCTGTGTAAACGGGGCTTGTGTGTGCACTATTGCATAATGTATTTGAAGTGGGAGAGAAAGGAAGGGGGGAATAGAGATAGAATAGAGGGAGGGAGGCAGAGAGAGAGAGGGAGGGAGGAAGAGAGGGAGGGAGGGAGGAAGAGAGAGAGGGAGGGGGGAAGAGAGGGAGGGAGGGAGGAAGGAAGGAAGGAGAGAGAGGGAGGGAAGAGAGAGAGGGAGGGAGGAAGAGAGGGAGGGAGGGAGGAAGAGAGAGAGGGAGGGAGGAAGAGAGGGAGGGAGGAAGGAAGGAAGAGGGGGGGGGGGAGGGAGGAAGGAAGAAGGGAGAGAAGGAAAAGAAAGGAAAAGAGGAAGGGAGGGAAGGAAAAGAAAGGAAAAGAGGAGGGGAGAGAAGGAAAAGAAAGGAAAAGAGGTAGGGAGAGGAGAAACTAAAAAGGAAGTACTCCACAACATGCTAGGAGCCACCAAAGAGCCAAACTCTTGGAAACTTTGCGAGGGAGTGAGTGGGAGGGAAGGGAGGGGAAGGGAGTGAAAGATGATAGATCTTTACTCCCACAACTGATGAAAAGGAGTGTAGGAGATAACGCTAGTGGATCAGATTGGTTACGTTCTGATAATTATTCATTCACACTAGTGCATTTCCTTATATGTACTTCGTAACTCCCAGGAGACATGCGCATGATGTCACGTTACTAAACATAGAATGAGTACGTTACTGTACATACAACATACGTAGTGTGAATATATTAGGGAAGTGACCAAGCATGCATATGGACAGGTGTGCTAGTCAGCATGGGTGAGCGATTTTTTTTAATAGTGCACCTCTTATATGATGGCAGTTTCTAATTTCAAAGGGAAAAATAGCACCAACTCGCAATACATAATCCATATATACATACGTACGTACATGGCCAAACGCCTAGGCTGGGCTGAAAAGCTCAGCTGATACATTAGCCCATTCACTGCCCATCTCTTCTACACCGCTGACCGCTCCCCTTACTGAGCTGTGACCAGTGCACCGAGCCACATATATACATACATTAATTATGTATTTGCCAATAGAACCAGACACACTTACGTACTACAATACACACATACACACACGTATTGTGTATGCACCCTCTGAAATCACTGTTTGTCCCACCAGCACAATACATTATCCATACACACATACATACATACATACATACATACATAGGCAGAGCTATATGCACGCCTGGAGGCTTGGGTGAAAAGCTCAGCTGATAGCCTATTCACTGCCCCTTTTTGTACCATTCAGCGCTGGCCTTACTGAGTTGTGACGACACGCGCACATCAGCCACTCCTCACGGACACAGGACTACTGCCCTGTTATGGTGCTAGCTGTCTAGGTAGTCTGGTTGTAAACAATAAGTGGCTGCTTGTTGTACATCGTGTGCCGGGCTGCAGTCAACTCAGCGTGCCTAATAGGTGTATTCATCTGACCAGCTGATTATGCCATCGCCATTCAGCCAACCTATTGAGTGTGGCTTTCACACACACACACAGACCGTATTATACATATGTAAGTACCTATGAACGTACGTACCATATTGTAAGTTTGTGTTAATGTATACATAAGTATTGTAAGTATGTGTACCTACCTACGCTTAGACACTGCGTGCTTGGCACAAGACATATGTATGGGGCAAGCAAGGGAGCTACATACTATATGGTACTACATATACACAGAGACATAAGAAGAGGTCTAATACTAGCTGTATACGCTATGGGGGAGGTACTAGTAGATAGAGAAGAGATAATGTGTAATTATACGCACTGTACTAGTCAGTTTTACGGATAAGATGCTCGTGGTGGTAGATGCAAGGCACGACTTTTATGCACATGAAGTTATTAGACCACGTGTATGATACAAAAGGGTCAAGATCTTTCAAAGCCGCAGTCACTCATTTGAACAAAAGGAAGTGCTAACCATATTCTCCATACATAAAGAGAGTGTGGTAAGATTGTAGTTAGCTACTGAGTCAGCACTATCCTTTGAATGGCTAGTGGCAGGAACTGGATGGACAGTGGGTGGCGATGGCTAGTGGCAGGAACTGGATGGACAGTGGGTGGCGATATGAACAATCTTCCATTCATAAACCATTTATTCAGGCTTTATCTTATCCTCCCCATCTTGTAGCTTGCACATTTTTCCTCTATATAAACTTCTATATAGTGTGGTGTATAACAGCCATATAAACTCATACCACGGCTATATGTAGTGTATTATAAACTGTACAAACGTTAGTGTTGGGAAAAGTGGTTTGGTGGTAACGTGTTTACTACTGAACTCAGACAGCGCCCCTTTCCCCTCTACTCTCACTGCCAACACAAGGCAACAGCTGTCTTTAAAAGCCTGTGGCTCATGGTTCGAAGTTAATTGCATCTCGTGATGAATCCTTATAGTATTGCATAATGTGGCGTGAGCCTTCTTTCTCTCAAGTCACTCAAATTTTGCGGACCAAACTTTAAAACTTTTGAACAGCTCTCAAACCGCGTAATTCTCTCACAGTATATGCACCCCCAGACACTCGCCTTGAAAATTTTTTTCATGTGATGGAGTGTGTCTTGTGCATACACACACGCACATGCATGCGCACTCACACGTATCTTGTGATACAAAATAAATAGGTCTAGTCAAAGAGCTACGCCGCGTTCAGTCGCATTCGTTTAGTACTATGTGAGCCAGTGATCCAGGCCTACTTTACAATGAAAAGCACTGAAGTGCAAACCCTCGGCGACCTGTGCATGCATGTATGTAGCAAGGTTTTTGTGTGACTGCCTGTATGTCAGCTAGTGTGTGATAAGCAACTGCATACCTATGTGTGTGTTATTTAACAAGTTCTTTTGTGTCCATCGAAATCCGAGTCAAACTGTCTCGTGTTACGTAACAAGAGCTGCACAACCAGTGAGCTTTGGTTCACACTTAAAAAGCCTGTTTACCCAGTTTCTTTGTGTCTGGCAAAATGCCAGTCAAAACAACGTCTAGTGCTACGGGGCAAAACACATACAGAGTATGCTCATCGGTGTTGAAGCCTTATAGAATGATGTAACCAAGGTACACTCCTACGTAAAGCCTTGTAAGGAGTTTACTGCTAGTTTTCGTCTGTCAGTTTTCGTTTTCCTGTGCATTCCATTCAACTCTCGTGTGCCAGTCTTGACAATGTCTCACAGTCCAGACAAAACACCCATTACTGCATGTACATTCTGTAAATAGTGCATGAAGGTATTAGACCATGTGATGCCAAGAGAAAAAAGATGGGGAGCTAGCTCTGGACAGCTGTTTGGGGCTTGTTGGCCTCATCAGCATGTACATTCTGTACAGTATGTAGGTACATGTATATACATCCTGTAAGTACATGTAAGTTCTGAGTAATGCATAGAAGTATAATTATATGACAGCAAAGCATGTACATTATTACCCCAATCTGTTAACTCATCAGCTGATGCTGTACATGCATGTGGTTCATGTTGTAGATGTATAGCTGATAGGCCCACCTCTGACAATGGGAATGATTCTGGTGAGTGGTTTGGTAGTGTGCAGATGTCTGGAGGATTAATGAAGCGTCCTACCACTAGCAGAAAGGGAGACAAATTTCTTATCACTTGTATATAGCAATCTGTGGTTTTGTTCATATGTGTCACCTTGGTTTCACACATCACCCAATTCCAGTGTAGGTGCACTGCTACTAGGGGCACACTTTCTTACCTTTTTCAGTACGGCTCATCCACCTGTTATAGTAAAAGTTACGAAAAAACAGTTTGCCTGGATCTTAGATTTCCAAGGCCGTCTACAATGACTTAGTGTCTTAAGGACACCTACTAAATGCCATAACTAGGAGGCACTCTGCTATACATCATATGTCTTGTGGAGAACATGCAGGGAAACAGAGTGTAGTATAAACAGTGACACTGTGTTTGCAAAGTACACGAACACATCACTGATGCTATACTACGACATCATCATCATCGACTCAGCACCATGTTATGACAACACCGTCATGGCAACGGAATGCAAGCTATACTATGCACTATGTGAACCAGCCAATAAGATTATGTCACAGGTCTGGAGTATACATTGCCAGGTAGTCTAAGGTTTAGTTCATTACTATAGACTCTAGGGGCAAGGGACAATTGGTTGTCCAAAGGACTCTGATCTACGTATGTAGTAATAGTAGGTCGATTGTACTATGTGGTAAGGGAGCCGTTGAGCGATTTTTCCATTTGTGTGTAACATTCTGATACAAACAGCATTTATACACACTTACCCTTCCGTAGATAGTAACAATGCAGTTTATAATGTAGGCATGCTATGGGACTTCCGATCTTAGTATGCATACATACATGTGTAGCTTCAACTAACTATGTAAACGTTAGATCATGTTCATGTTCTGATACCAACATCATTTATACACACTTACCCTTCCGTAGATAGTAACAATGCAGTTTATAATGTAGGCATGCTATGGGACTTCCGATCTTAGTTTGCTTGTATACATACATGCATGTGTAGCTTCAACTAACTACGTAAACGTTAGATCATGTTCATGTTCTGATACCAACATCATTTATACACACTTACCCTTCCGTAGATAGTAACAATGCAGTTTATAATGTAGGCATGCTATGGGACTTCCGATCTTAGTATACATGCATGTGTAGCTTCAACTAACTACGTAAACGTTAGATCATGTTCATGTTCTGATACCAACATCATTTATACACACTTACCCTTTGTAGATAGTAACAATGCAGTTTATAATGTAGGCATGCTATGGGACTTCCGATCTTAGTATGCATACATGTGTAGCTTCAACTAACTATGTAAACGTTAGATCATGTTCATGTTCTGATACCAACAGCATTTATACACACTTACCCTTTGTAGATAGTAACAATGCAGTTTATAATGTAGGCATGCTATGGGACTTCCTATCTTAGTTTGCTTGTACATGTGTAGCTTCAACTAACTACGTAAACGTTAGATCATGTTCGGTGCACAGAGTATATACAGCATGGTGATCATACACCCTACGTCAATGTATCGGGGCACTTTGACCCATGGTTGGTATGTATGCATTCTGATGCAACTCTTCATGCCTCCACGGTACAGCCAAGGTTCATACCGGGTATTATACTCTACACTGTGTTTATACCCATTCCACTCTCATGTAATACAATATATAGTATCACATGTGGCCTCTTATGTGGTACATACATACATACGTACGTACGTACCTACGTAGGCGTGATAGTTGGCATATTATTGCAACATGTTTCAATTCATGGAAAACGGATAAGACATCAAGAGCAAAAAACAGGTTTAAATCCACCACCTGAGCAACTCTTGAGGACTGTATAATACAGATGTGCAAGCCACACAGCTACGTATCCGGTGCATTGAGTGGTGCCATTTACTTTGTCTGTTTGCAACCAAGGGGGAAACTGCACTGTTTATGTCGCGGGTGAATCTGTGCACGGTGCATCCAAATTTGGCAGTGTGTTTTGTATTGGGGCGATGACATCATCGGTATATCCGGGGGACGGTGTTTCTGTGACGGTGTCTGCCTGCCTGTGTTTCCCCTCTACTCCGCACGTCTCAAAGGAATACACCCGTAAACATTCCAACGTTCCAACAACAAGAGTTGCATCAGAATGCAACGTGCAGGCGTGCCGAGTTGCTACGTACGTATGTACGTATATCTCAGTCAAATAATCTGCCAAACCGAAACACAAACTCCGCAGGTGTAAATTTTCCATTGAGTGTTATTTTAACACGGTTTTCTCCCCCAAAAAACCAAGAATCGTTTAATGGTATTGTAACGATGAATGTGTAAGGTTTCATTGATTTTCTCCCATTAATCTTATGGTGTACGTAACTGTATGACTGCCATTGATATTTAATAAATGGAATGCCTTAACAAGTTTTTGATATAGATTAGCCCTTGGCACAATCTGATATAGCGTTGTGGGTGCATAATTATACAACTCTGTGGACACACAGTTGCATTCTTCAGCGCAAACAAGAAACAAGAATGACAATGAGTCTACCGGCTCTCCCCGGTGCTATAATTATAGTACAACTTAATATGAATGCAGCACACATGGTGTCAGTGCGTGATATAATTATATGAACATTTCCATAGAGCGTCTCTCGTCACCTTTGAACCCATATTTTTGTACAGTGTTCACAGTATGACAATTATTCTAATGAGTTCTGACCTGATGGCCTATATACTTCTCCAGCAGTGAACTTAACGAAAGAATGACCACTCTAATGACAATCCCTCTATTTTCTTCTGCCTCATACTACTGATGAGTGGATTAAACTATTACATCTGATAGTAGGAGTCTTCTGCAATTATTCTTTTATTGACCCTGACCACCACAGTCAATGGGGTCCCGTAGTCAGCGGTTTCACTGTATCCGCAGTTCTATGGCAACGCATTCAAAACGGTTCAATCGAACCGACAACGCAAGATTGAATGACGTCTCCACAATTACTGCCGCAGGGAAGGCTTGCATTAAACCTCATTCTCTGTGACATCATAAATGATCCATACGATGTCATACTGTGTGGCTCGCAAGTTCTGAGTTTATACTTCCAGGATAATATGGTAATTAAGGGCAGCTGGTCAGAGGAGAGGGACACTCTTGGGATAGAAGGGAATGTCCTGGTTCTACGTATGGATGGCGTTTCTCGCGCAGTGCGAGTGAAAACTGTGGCGTTAAGGTTTCGATGCGAAACGGCCACACCTAAAACCGTCGTCCAAATTGCACAATTGGTGAGATGGCGATGCGTGCAGAGCCGTATTGTTTTAAGTACAGGTACGTACTTTCACACTAGTTGAGAATCGATAGAAGAACATACGTCCCCGCCGTCAGCATCTGTATGTCTTTTTGCCCTGTTCCCAAGTGTATGAGTACACTGGTTTGTGAGAAGCACATGTCCACATTTCGCTACACGCATACTGAGGATGCTGACATTTGACTTTCATCGGTGGTGTTTGATATAGTTGGGCACTATACACAAAACATGCTCATGGGTGTTGCTGGTAGAGGACAATTGTATGTGGCTGCCACCTGTTGGAACGTTGCAAAAATCATGGGTGTATTGCTGGGTAGAAAATTAATTATGGCTCAAACCTGTTGGAACTTGCAAAATATCATATGGTGTGTGCGGGTCGAAAATAATATATGGCCTACAAACGAGATCAGAGACTTGCAGAGGTTTGAAACTAATCAGTGGTTACGTAGCTAGCGCACGTATTAAACCCATCGGACATGCAGAAAATTCATAGGTAGCGTCGCTCAAAACTATTAGTCACGACTTGCAGAAGTTTAGCCGAACTTACACCGTCCAGAATGTCGTTCAAAGTACATTGGTGAGACATTTGTATCTCATGGACATAGTTATACCGCCCAAAGGTGTCAAGGATACTCGAATCCGCCCAGCGGAAGGCTACAACCGGGATCAGAGTATGTATTGTGTGTATGCGTACGTGTACTGAGGATCAACACTGGCGGTATCACAGACTAGTATGCTTACGTTAGTAGTCATGGTGGTGGCAGACCCACAGCATTAGAGCGCATCAGACACACAGTTTGTGCGTCGGATCCCTACAGAGCTATGTATAATGATGGGCGTGACAGCCTATACGGTACAGGTGACGGATTATGGTACCGGTTCTGCTGTTTTACCGAATGACATAACAGTGCAGTGCACCCAGCCAGGTGCTGGCAGTAGCACAGAGTCTGGTACATCTGATGCAGCAACACTGTCTCTGTATATAGTGCTCAGTCTCTTATTATCCTCCAGAGGGATTCATGCACTAAAGGACATGATTAACAGACACCCATGATTGGACCACCAGCACAGTATGTCATAACCTCCATGATAGTGTTGTAATAATATTTCCCTGCATCAGCCTACATACGTATTAGTAGATGTGGCCGTTGATGCACGCTACATGTACGCCAATACATACACCTAGAAACCCTAATACTGTTGCTCTTTTTATATAATATTTAAGTGCTATGTTTCTATATGATACAGTAACACAACTTGCTTCTTCCCTGGACGTTTCGTCTATCTGAGTACACACAGACTCCCCGTACTAAATATATACCACAGTTCCCTTTGTTCACGAGTAAGAGTGCGACGTTTGATACTTTTTCAGGCATTGTGTGCAGCTGCCGCCGCAGACCATACTGTCGAGACTTCACGTCGTGTGACAATACCCTGTATGAAGCTATGCAGTCGACAGGACTGTACTAGTAGAGTCACTCACCACAGGAACATGCTTGAGTACCACATGAGTGCTATAACGAAGAAAGACTCATTTGATTCGACAGTGCCTTCTATGGACAAGACCCGTCCTTTGAGTAGCGTGTTGACCTGGGAGTCTATGAGTGGAAGTTTAGCACAGTACGCACGAAATATGACAACTAGCATATGACTATCGGAGAAGATAGAGATACAAAGTGATATGGGAGAATGTTTCTGCTGAACACCTGTATCACACACTAGATACACGAGATTGTGTGATAGATTATGTCACTACAGTTTTGATAGAGTTTGCGAGCTGAAATCGCTATACATACGTAGCTGATTAGAACGGTGCATCCTGTGGTAATTTCAGCGCCTCTATCTATGCAAGAATCGTCCGGATGTGTAGACTAGCATTGTGTACAACTTTGCCGCCCACAATCAGACCGCTTGCAACTGTACAGTGTGGTGTTGTGGTGATCTTGTTTTGCGTCGGGGCTCTTGACGCCGCATGCGCCCGCAACCAGGCTCCGTACAGGCCATACAGGCGTCCCATGGCTTTTGACCTTATAGTGCTGTTGTACCTGTAGCACATGTCCTGTGGTTCGCACACCTGGCGACAGGCGGAACATGTAATACAAGTCTAATGAGGGTGCGGACAACAGGGCTAAACATAGTAACGGCACCCAGGTGATGATGTATGTGCGAACTAGATGTCAGCAGGCTAGCTGAGCGTGTTGTAGCAGCACAGGGGAGAGAGTACGAGTAAGGCAAAGCTACACCCACACACCGCAGGCAGAACGATTTTCGATCGAACATAAACAGCTGCCACCAGCCACGCCCACGGTCCATGTACTGGCACATGTACGTAATGGGACATGACTGCGAGAAAGACTAACTACACAGACATAGTGTCGGTGATTATGGTGTGTTTAGACACCTTGTAATTTAATAGATCTTGGTGTAGACCCTATACGTGAGCAGTGAGTGTATCGATTGATGGCAATTGAAACTGGTCACTTTCAAGTCCTTCAGGGGAAAACCACAATAGAGGATGAAGAGGGAGTAGGGGCGGAGGGTAGCAGTGGCAAGGAGGGGGAAAGAGAGCGAGACGAGCTCAGAGTTGGGAAGCAGGGAGAGGTGGAAAAAAGAGGGGAGAATCAAGAGAGGGAGCGAGAAGTTGAGGAGAGTAGGGCCGGAGGGAGTGAGGGAGGAAGAAGAAAGAAGATACAGTTCGGGGGGTGGAAGTGGAAACAAATCTTGTTCTTGACTCGTCTTATGGTCTCCTATTTCATCGCCTTTCTGACCTTAATTTTTCTTTATGATCCTTCTACTCGTTACTATTCGGACGTTTGACGCTGTTTGACCTCCAATTTTGCTTTGGCAGGAATCTAAAAGCTTACTCTGGCAACACATCGAGTGTGGTATCTATTAGAACTACACAATCCATGGCGCATGCTGTCCACCACACATGTTATGGACACCACTTGATGCATGTCTAGTAGACGCAATCCGTCTATCCACCAGTACAGATTGATGTAGCATGTACATGTATAGCATGCAAAGCCACCAACGCCCACTACAAAAGTGCACATGCCAGATACTAACAGTTAGAACAGCTCATTCGCACTCGAGCATAGTACCTATATGCCATGCGCCACTAGCATCTATCACTACAGCGAACACAGCCAAACTGTTATACATATGACAACAGAGGCAATAGCAACAGGCTACACACATGATCAATTGATACCAATTTGGCAGCTGCCCAAAGCCCTGGATGACTAAAGCTCCATATATAGAAGGCTAACTTTATTAGACGCCACACAGCCTAATGTGTATTGAGTGAGGGTGCATGGTCTTATGTCTGTCTGTCTCAGACTGTGTATAACGAGTCACACATACATACACATAACATGTAAGCACACACAAATGCACAGCGACGTGTATGCTCACCCTTTAGGTCCGATATCTTTGTTCGCCCGTTGTACGACACACACACGCGCAGTCCATCAGCTTGTTTACATGTACTACAGAAAGTGAACCTCGCCTGGTCACGAACACTGCGTCTCTGCTAGCAGCGTATTAAGGCGACAGAGTTGTTGTGTCCAACAATCGCAAGTGGTATTGTGCTAAACTCTGACCAAAGTTGACACAGCCGCCGTTTGTTCAGCAGTAAAACAGATGAGATTGGAAAAAAATTCTTCTACTTTTCTCGGTGTACACTTTATCTGTACATGACAACTGAGTTAAGATTTACATGAAAGAGGAGAGGGTATAATTGGTGTGTGATCCGGACAGATTTTACCTAAAAAGTCGGATTATTAAAAAGAATTGGCTTCACCAGTGCAGCAAACTGAGTAAAAACGGTACAACAGAACACACATTGAGCGAGTGAGAGTGAATGAGTCGGTGGGGGGAGAGGAGAGTTTAACGAACGAGAAATGAAGAGTAGGGGCTGAAGTGACACGTATGATGATACAAAGGGTCGTAGGGACGTGTAGGTACTAGCGATGGTTAGGGTGACCGTGTTTTACACTCGCACGGGTATGGCGTAGTCGAGCCGCGACAAACTGTCGTACATTTGGTTCATGTAGTAACTGGTGTGTCCGCTGTTGGGAGGCGACGAGGAAGACGCCGGAGACACTCTCCCAGCGACGCTGGGCGGCGTTATGGAGCGGTGCTTGGCTGGCGTGCTTGTGCTTCTTTTCACGGGCGAGGGAGACGCCGTCCGAGACGGAACTGGTGAAGTCCGGGGAGCGGTCGCCACGCTGTGCGTAGGATGATTCCAAGAAGGAGACGCCGCCCCGCCATAGGTACTGGAACGAGAGACACCGCTGGTAGGGAGGTCCATCGTACACGAGCAGATGGAACCGTCCTCGCCGATTCTGTACGACACGTCGCGGGGGTCGATCCAGAGCGTCAGTTGGGTAGGAAGGTACTCGGAGATGTTCGATAGACCAGTGACTTTAGCCGCTTCCCTTACGACAGGGTCGAGTCGGGAGCCGTTGATTCTGATGCAGCGGTAGGCGCTGCCGCGTGTGGGGTTCGTCGGGTCCCAATGGTCTCTGAATCGCGCCAGCAGTAGCTCTTCCATTCGCCGTCTGAACGACCGGGAGAATTGTATGGGCAAATGCCGCTGCGTCAGAAGAGTCGAGATGAACTCGCAACCACACTGAACCTCCGTCCGCATCTCTATCACTTCTTCTTTCTCTACTAGTGAGAGTCTCGGTCATTCACTTAGGCGCAAAGGGGAGAGAGATAGACACGGTCGAACAGAGTCTTCTAGCTAGAAAAGAATACGTCGAGTTGTCGGCTTTCTCGCACAAGAAGTCTTTTTATCGTGTTTTGTCCAGTAATTGGCATGACGTAAGGTATTTTGCGGTTTCCCTACGCGCGCGCCGCGTTCTCGCCAACGTCTGCGTTTCTATGGAAACAAGTGCGTCATCGCAGGCGGAAAACGTCATTGTTCGTCATTTCCGAATTAACTTCCAGTCACTGCGCACTGATGCAAATTACATCCGTTCTCATAACCATAAGCAGAGTTTCAACCCCGGCCTCTCCCCGGACACACCTTCTCCACTTATTAGGCTACTATAATATGCACTTAATTATTCCACATGATCCGCCATCTTTCTTTGTTTTATACTTTAAAGTTTTAATAGTGGAAAATTGAAATGTGCGGTGAGAAACAACACACTAGCTGGCTATATACAGTAATCAATAATAATAATGTACAGAGAAACACTGCTAGGATTCAAGGATTGGAGTTTTTGCGTTTGTAGCAGTCGGAAACCACTTGTGGTACTTGATCTCAGGGATATACTTTGCAGTCACTAGTTTACCTGCGGAGAGAGAGAGAGGGAGAGGGATGAGGAAGAGAGGACCATTACAATACTTAGACTTTCAAGTAAAACTTCAATGGAATTTGTTTTAATAAAGTAACCCGTCGTGATAGGAGAGAGAGAGAAAAATGTACAATATGTAGCAATTTATGATTGGAGCAAGTAAGACATCATTAGTAACTTCTCAGTAAAAAAACTTGGCAAAAATTCATCGACATTTTCCCACCTCAAAGAGTGTCCTGGTGTAGTGTTACTGACCTTTGTACCAGCCGCCATGCAGCACATTATAGCATTCCATTGCAGACTTGAGGGAGTCCATTTTCAGGTACACACAGCCCTAGAGGGAACACACACAACACTTCACAACTCCCTGGTCCATATCAGAGTATATATACATTGTAGGAGATGGGAAACTATAGTTATAGTGTTCAACAGTGAAAATTATTAGTTAGGGAAATGCAAGGTATTTTGTGGAAGCAAAGAAACACATGGATATACTGGAAGAATAGAGGGAGTAACGGAGATATTGGGAGAATACTGAGGGAGTACACTGGAGAATACTGGGTAAGACTACTGAGGGATACACTGGAAGAATACTGGGAGAGAATACTGAGGAGTAATACTGGGAGAGTACTGAGGGAGTACACTGAGAATACTGGGTAAGAATACTGAGGGAGTACACTGGAGAATACTGGGTAAGAATACTGAGGGAGTACACTGGAGAATACTGGGAAAGAATACTGAGGGAGCACGTGGAGAATACTGGGAGAGAATACTGAGGGAGTACATAGAGAGAATACTGGTAAGAATACGAGGGAGAACACTGGAGAATACTGAGAAAAATACTGAGGGAGTACCACTGGGAATACTGGGAGAGAATACTGAGGGAGAATACTGGGAGAGAATCGAGGGTACCTAGAGATACTGGGAGGAATACTGAAGGAAGTAACACTGGAGAATACTGGGAGAGAATGCTGAGGAGTACACTGGAGAAAACGGGAAGAATACTGAGGGGAGAATACTGGAAGAATACTGAGGGAGTACACTAGAGAATACTGGGAAGAATCTGAGGAGCACACTGGAGAATAATTGGGAAGATACTGAGGGAGTACACTGGAGAATACGGTAAAAACAGGGAAGAATACTGGAGAGAATACTAGAGCACACTGGAGAATATTGGGAGAAAATCTGAGGTAACCTAAATACTGGGAAAAAATACTGGGGAGCACACTGAGATACGAGAAGATACGAGGATACACTGGAAATACGGAGAGATACTGGGGAAAATACTGGAGAGAATACTGAGGGAGTACATGGAGAATACTGGGAGAGAATACTGAGGGAGTACACTGGAGAATAACTGGGAAGAATACTGAGGAGTACACTGGAGATCTGGGAGGAGAATACTGAGAATACTGGGAGAGAATACTGAGGGAGTACACTGGAGAATACTGGGAAAGAATACTGAGGAGTAACTGGAAATACTGGGAGAATACTGAGGGAGAATGGAGAATACTGAGGAGTACACTAGAGAATAATGGAAGTGATACTGAGGAGTACATTGGAGAATACTGGGTAAGAATGAGGGAGTACACTGGAGAATACTGGGAAAGAATACTGAGGGAGTACACTAGAGAATACTGGGTAAGAATACTGAGGGAGTACACTGGAGAATACTGGGAAAGAATACTGAGGGAGTATACTGAGAGTATACAGACCACAGGTGATTTCTTGTCCACCCAGACGTGGACCACAGCTCCGTGAGGGTGACATCTCTCCAGCACTGCATTCTCCAGTTCATGGATCTGATTCTCACTCATCTTCCTGTGCAACCACAACACCTTCATTCATAATTATCTTTCCTAGAACTAAGAACGCAGAATGCAATGCATTTTTTGGCGAGCAAATGGGAGAATTCAGAAACGATTGTAAAATTTCAGTTATGTTTGTACTGTACCAGCGCCAATTTAGAAATGCATAGGAAATTACAGTAAGGGTGGTAACATAGAAATATAAAATAATTGTTGAAGTCAGACGACTATGTGGGCTATAACCTATATTAAATATACAGCAGACTTTCACAATAATATCCATTAAGTATTATACACAAATGTATAATTATAATATTGCTCATTGTTGGGGTATATAATTATATCTACATATTATTGACACACCTGATTGGCTCAAACATGTTCTTAAGTCTAATGCAGACAGAGGGCGTGCCAGTGGGTGGAGCCACCTTCGTAGTGATCTCTGGAGGATAGTGGTCAAATACACTCCCGTGCCAGTTGCCTTGACTACGACCTTGTTGACCTCCTGGTGATAATGGTTGGCGGGAGGAGGGAATTTCGGTAGGAGGTGGGTCTTCCTGAGTTGAAGAGAACAAGGAGGGAGGGAGAGGGGAGGGTAAGGAGAAGCAAAGGAGCAGTGAGAGAAAAGAAATTGTCTTTCCATCATACCGGCGACCGAGACTAAGCAAAAACAAAGTGAGGCGTAATAGATACATACGTACAGTCAGGACAACCTCTCTTTAAAAAGAAGAGCTGTCCTGGGTGGATTTGAACACTAGTGTCCTTTCTCACTGAGTTACCAGGGCAGGGCAGCTCAGCAGACAGGTGCTTAACCAGCCACGTGTCTTCTTCCAGTGTATATACTGTGAGTGAGTTACTTGTGGTCCAAGGTTTCCGACAGACGCAAAGAATTTAACTTCGCTACGTGGCGTCCCTTACAACGCTTCTTCCCTTGCAACAGTAAGTTAACACTTAACCACCCGGACAACAAATGTGTCCAGAGCCTCCATAAGTCCATAAAGAATTTTTATGGGGGTAATAATACTAGGCACTAATACAATTCTGCTTATTTAAGAAGATGTACCCATGGTGTCCAAAGGGTTAAATCTAAACGTAAAAGCAAACCCTAACTATGGCACAGTAAACTCCTGCACTTGTACATGACAACACAACACCACTCCCCATCTTTTCTATAAGCACTGAGGTTGTTTCCCTTTACGTCTGAGGGAAAGTAAAGGCACACACACACACATACACACACACAGAGAAATCAGTAACACTCTACAACACTCTGCAACAGCTCACCTGTATCCACCTCCAGACCTGGAAGTCTTGCCCGGCAATTCTCCTTGTCTCCACCCTCACTCTGCTCTCATTACACGCTATCCATTGAACCGCCTCGTCCCACAACCCCTCCTTGGCTTTCCTACGCCACACAAACATACAGAGAGATGTGTAGGGGAGGAAAGATATCACGTAGCAAGGACATGGTAGCTTTTAGGATTAGTTACTGTTGAAAAAAAAAAAAAAATGGAGAAAAAAAATGATGCCAATCGCTGTCATTCTTCAACTGTGC